TGAGACAGGATCTCCCTCCTTTGTCCAGGCTGGAGGGCGGTGGCCCATTAGGGCTCACTGTAACCTCCGACTCCTGGGCTCAAGTGACCCTTCCACCTCAGCCTCCCGAGTAGCTGGGACTACAGGTGCACCACCACGCCTGGCTAATTTTTGTATGTTTTGTAAAGAGGGGTTCTCACTATGTTGCCCAGGCGGGTCTCGAACTCCTGGGCTCAAGCTATCCACCTGCTTCCGCCTCCCAAAGTGCTGGAACTGCAGGCATGAGCCACTGCACCCAGCCCTGTATTCTTATTCTTCAGATATTTATTTTTGTTTTCACAGTTTTAAAATAAAACCAAGTATTGATAACTATGGTGTCTTGGAACCTCTGGGAGTGGAAAGCCAGCCAAAGTTGGAGTGGCAGTGGTTAGACAGCAGAAGGGACTGCCTGAGGCGTTGCTGGTTGGCAGGGGTGGGGGACTGGAAATCCTAACTTCATTCAACCCTAATTGTCAATGCTCTGGGGGCTGACCCACTTGGGGGAGGGCATGGATGGCATGGCCTTTGGCCCTAGGGAGAAATCTGAACCGTGGGAACTGCCTTTCAGACGCTGAGTCAGCTGCCGCCTGAAGGGGGAGCCCTGCCCTCCTATCAGCTGAACGGGTGCCAGGGCCCAGCAGGCAAGGGGGGCACAGCCCGCAGAAGCTGGAGCCTCTGTCTCTGTAGATCAGCCTCTCCAAGCCGCCCAGGCAAGGGGGCCCTCTTCTCCCCCTGCTCCTGGGCCAAGTGGAGCCTGCTTCCCATCCCACCTCTCCAGGCTCCCAGTGCCAGCACAGTGATCTCTGCTCACTGCAGTCTCTGCCTCCCAGGCTCAAGTGGTCCTCCCACTTCAGCCTCCTGAATAGCTGGGACTACAGGTGTGCACCACCACACCCAGCTAATTTTTGCCTTTTTTGCAGAGATGGGGTTTTCTATGTTGCCCAGGCTGGTCAGGTATCTGGGATCTACTGATCTCCCCCATTATGCTGAAGTTTCTAGAGGTCAGGGATGGTCTGGTTCGTTAGTGGGTCCTGGTACCCACACTGAAACCCTGGTATAGGGTGGCCCGGCAGTGTGTGGAACGACTGAGTGGAAATGACCCATTCCTTCACCTCCACGCCCCTCCCAAGCCTCCGCTGTGTCCCTCTGGGCACAGATGCCAGGCTGGTGCTCCTTCCTTTCTGGGAACCCAAGGGCCTGTGCCTGGGAGGGGGATCCCCGAGCGCAAGGAATCCTCCCTGCCGCCACCTCCAGCCAGTGGGCAGCCGGAGTTGCCGAGGGACTGCGGCAGGGAGGTCCCCCGGGGCCCCTGGCAGCCCCTCAGGACCGCCGTGTCCCCCAGGCCTCCCCCGCATCACCTGAAAAGAACGCGGGCGCCCGATAAGCGGCCGCCTTTGTCTCGCTTCCTGTTTGCCAGGACGTCCCGAGCCCGACTCCCGCGTCCCGCCCGCCACTCCTCAGGGAGCCAAGGCCGGCGGGGAGCCCCAAGGGGCGGCGGCTCCTCCGCACCCCCTCCGTGGCCTCGGGACGCGCCCCGCTGGAAAAACCCCGCTGGAATTTTCTACGTAGCCTCCCGAGGAAGCTCTGCGGGGCGGGGACAGGAGGGGAACTGGGGTGCGGCCGGCCGGTCTCAAGGATTCGGCTCCGGCTCTAGCTCCGCCGCCCTGGCCCTGCGGACCCGTGTTGTTACCAGAAAGAGGTCCCGATCCAGACCCCAAGAGAGGGTTCTTGGATCTCGTGCAAGAAAGAATTGGAGGTGAATCCCTACAGTAAAGTGAAAGCAAGTTTATTAGGAAAGTAAAGGAATAAAGAATGGCTACTCCACAGAGCAGCCCCAGGGGCCGCTGGTGTCCCATGTTTGTGGTTATTTCTTGATGATATACTCCACAGGGGTGGATTATTCATCTCACCCCTTTTTAGAGCATATAGGGTCACTTCCTGACATTGCCATGACACTTGTAAACTGTCATGGCACTGGTGGGAGTGTGGAGCGCGGACGACCCCAGGCCACTCTTGTGCCATCCTGATATTGCTGGGTTTGGGCCGGCTTCTTTTCGGCAGCCTGTTTTACCAGCAAGATCTTCATCATCTGTATCTTGTGCCAACCCCCTGTCTCATCCTGTGCCTTAGAATGCCTGGCTGGCTGGGAATGCAGCCCAGTAGGTCTCAGCCTTATTTTACCCAGCCCCTATTCAAGATGGAGTTACTGTGGTTCAAACGCCTCTGACAGTGTGGGGTCAGCCTGGCCCCTCCTTAGCCTCGTTCCTGGGGCCAGCGAGCCCAGGCCTACCTGGGCCAGTCCTGCAGTGGGCTAGGGTGCAGACGGGGCTGGAGAGGCCCTAGTTTCCACCACCAGCCTCCTCCAATGTTGGGCATGGGTGTGTGGTTATAAAGAGCGAGGCTTACCTCAAGCACCCCAACCTGATTACTGCCCCTAAAGAAATCCTGGCACCGCAGCCCCTTGCTGTGTGTCCTCAGGCCAGTCCTTCCCTTTCCCAGGGCCAAAGGTGTGGGACGTTAGACAGAGCTGGGTTTGAAGCCCTGCTCTGTTCAGCTGTGTGTATGATTGGACAGGTTTTTCCGTCTTTAACGGAGGACAGTGGTACTCACCTACCTCCTGGGGTTAGTGGGAGGATTAAATGAGACAAAACATGCTAAGCATTTAGCTCGGTGCTTGGAACTCATTAAGGGCTTAAGAAATGGTAACAGCAACAGCTATGATCGTTTTAAGAGATTGGACCTGATAACGTAAAGGCTTTTCATAAGGAGCTAAACATTCATTGAATGCTTAACCATAGGTTTCTGCCAGCATGTTGTTCTGAATGCTTTACATACATTGTCTCATTTAAGCCCCCAAAAATAAAAATGAAAAAATGAAAAACTATCTCCAGAAGCATAGAGATTAGCAACTAAGTTGCTGAATGTCATACAATTAATAACTGAGGCAGGATTCAAATGCAGGCTACCCAAATCCTCACACTCATCAGCTCTGTATTAAGATTAATAGTGATATTCCAGTGTCCTTCCCCAAGCCCTTTCCCTGTCTGGCAAGCTCTTATTCATCCCTGAAAACCCAGCTCAAATGTTCCTCCTCTGAAAAGCTTTTCCTGACACCCATCTTCTGGATCTTCGGGGACCCTTGCATACACACCTGGCACAAAGGGAGTATCTGTCAACAACTCTTCCTACAGAGGGATGGGGCAGCAATTTTTATTTTTTTCAGCTCCATTCTTTCCTAGCCACCAAATATTTCACTTGGGCATTTATTCTGGCCCCCTGTGGGGCTCTGCGGGGATGGGGGGAGGGGTCCCAAGGCACCTGACTCTAATCTCCCAGGGGCTGCTAAGTTACATCATTTCACAAGTGCTGATGCCTCACATCTTCCTGGGATCTGGCAAAACCCCCATCCCTGCTTGGTGCCCATTAAGGGAAAGGAATTCATGCCTACCGAGCCTGCAGCGAGCCACACTTTGGTCTACGTGCTTCACTTACTTCAGCTCCTTCTCTCACACCCACAGCCCTGGGAGGAAGTGTATGCCTAGAAACCCAATGTCAATCAGTGAGACCACTCTCAGAATCCATGGGATGGGTGAACCTCCAAATTGTGAAGACAAATGGGCCCAGGCACAGCTGGAACCAGGGACCCAAAACTGCCAAGACACACCCTCTCTGTCTCTGTCTCTCTGTATCTCTTTTCTCTCCCATTCCCTCTACTAACTCTGCCATGAGGAAGAATTTGCGGCCAATGGCAACTCCTGAGCCTCCCAATCCACAGCCATTTTCTCAGTTCTGATTCAAAATAGAGAAGTCTTTTGATTGGCCTGGGTCCGGTCAGGTGTTCCACCTGTGGGATAGTCACCTGTGGCCGAGAAAGAGGGTCATGGAAATCATGACAGCCCTTGCCGAGCCAGTGTTTGGGGGAGGAGGAGATCCTCAAAGAAGGAGGACCCAGGGGAAAGGAGGAATGCCAAACAGATTGAGGTAGGAGGCAACACTGAATTCCAGGGGCGGGGCTCGGAAACCGGACCACACTGAGGACTAAAACAGGGGAGCTAAGGCAGCTTTCAATTAGACACAGCCACCAGTGCGCTATGTCAATTTACACTGTTGCCATGGCAACACCTGGGACTTACCGCCCCTTTCCATGGCTATGACCCAATGATTACTACCCCTTCGCTAGAAATTTCTGCATAAACTGCCCTCAGGATTTGAAGAGAGAGCTTCAAATCCTTGAGAGAGCCCTCAGGATTTGAAGCTGCCATGAAAGGGACTTACCACCCCTTTCCATGGCTATGACCCAATGATTACCACCCCTTCAGGGAGGGGACGTGCTAGATGCAGACCCTGCTTTATGAAAATCTGGGACTCTGACACCAACACCCGAGGCAGTACCTTTCCAAAGTAAAACAAGGCTGAGTCTGAAGAGGACTTCCAGGGAAGCATCCTGCTTCCTGCTCCAGAGGTCTACAGTCTGGCTCCCACCAAGGGATGGGATGAGGTGGTAAACCAAATAAGCCAGTGGGTGGATCAGAGAGATGGGTGCCAGGGAGCCATGCTGAAGATACACACCGTAGGTAACGGCGGCTATTACCTCCTTTTTACAGGGAGTAGACTGTAGTGGGGGTGAGGGTGGGGGTGGGGGAAGGCGAAGTGACCTTAGGACACACTGCTAGGAAGTCGTGGGGAACCTCATTTGTCAGACCCCAAGGCCGGAGCTTTTTCTAAGCCATGTCTGGGTATATACACAGCCGTTCTTCAGCTTGTACCCAAGCAGGCTCTTTGGCCTCCAATTCTGTGCACAGAGGCCTGGATTTGAAGTTTGGAGCTTGTAGAAGTTGGTGATCAAGGTGCAGCTGAGGGGAGGGGCAGTGGTGGGGGTTATGTATCACTCAGGTGGCTTGGCCTGGCGCTACAGGGAGGGGCTAGGGTCTGCAGAGTGCAAGCTGAATCACTGCTTATCTTGTAAAGTCAAGTTCAAAAGCCTCCTCTGAGAAGCCTTTTTTTTCCCTTTTTTTCCTTTTTTTTTTTTTTTTTTGAGACAGAGTCTCCGCTGTCACCCAGGCTGGAGTACAGAGGCAGGATCATGGCTCACTGCAGTCTCGACTTCCCAAGCTCAAGCAATCCTCCCACCTTAACCTCCCAAGTAGCTGGGCCTACAGGCATGCCACAGCATGTGACTAATTAAAAAAAATTTTATTTTAGAGATGGGGTCTCACTATGTTGCCCAGGCTGGTTTAGAGTTCCTGACCTCAAGTGATCCTCCTGCTTCCACCTCCCAAAGTGCTGGGATTGAGAAGGCTTTTTGACTCCCCAGGACCGCCTTCATCCATCAATGAGACCCCACTCTCACCCCACTTCCTCCATCATAGTCCAGCATGGCAGCTGTCCACACCCTTCCTGACATAGGCTTCTGAGAGCAGGGCTGTGCCTCACACTCTGCTCTCAGTGTTGCCTAAAACCATACTGGGCGTGGAAATGACACCAGAGCTGTTTGCTGGAGGATGGAGGAAGCACGTGATTGTGGATGCCCACTTGCAGCGCCACCTCAGCGGTGTCAACCACAGCAGCAGTGCCTCCTGGTGGCTGAGTCCACATCTCCCTCTGCTGCCTCCTTGAGAGAAGCCACCTGTGCAGATTCTCATATCTGAGCACCTGCTGTGACTTCGTGTCTTACATACCTTCCCTGATGGAGCCAAAACTGCTCTGTGAGGCCTGGAGAGCGGCACAAAGGGACAGAGAAGGACGAGACAGAGCTGGGAATGGATCTCAATCGGCCTGACTCCAGAGGCCAACTCACTGCTGTGTTGTCATCTCTCACCCAGAGGTTGTGCCCCAGCCTGGCCAGGAGACAGCCCAAGTTTGGCTCTTTTTTTTTTTTTTTAAAGGCAGGCTCTCACTTTGTTGCCCAGGCTTAAGTGCTGGAGTGCAGTGTCGCGATCATGGCTTGCTGCCACCGTGATCTTCTGGCTCAGCAGTCCTCCTGCCTCAAAGTGTTGAGATCACAGGCTGTGCCACCATCCCCGCCCCAGGTTAGACTTTGAGGCACTGTCCTCTGCTCGGGGCTCCTTTCAGGTTCCTCACCTCCCCCAGCACACACACCTCCCTCAGCCTCTCACTCAGAGCCAGGCAGATCCAGGTTCAAGTTCCAGTTCCACTGGATTCCCTGGAGTGCATTTTCCACTCAAAAGCTCTGAACCTCTGTTTCCCAGTCTTTATTTATTTACGTATTTATCTATTTTTGAGACAGGGTCTTATTCCATTGCCCAGGCTGGAGTGCAGTGGTGTGATCACAGCTCACTACAGCCTCAACCTCCCACGCTCTGGTGATTCTCCCACCTTGGCCTCCCAGTCAGCTGGGACCACGGGTGTGAGCCACCATGCCTGGCTAATTTTATATATTTTTTGTAGAGATGGGTTTTACCATATTGCCCAGGCTGGTCTCAAACTCCTGGGCTCAAGCAATACGCTTCAGTCTCCCAAAGTGCTGGGATCACAGGTGTGAGCCACTGCACCCTGCCCTGTTTCCCAGTCTTTAAAAGGAGAATAGTGATTTCGGTTACTTCTCTGTGGGAGCTGCCCTAGATTGGGAAATTTGTTAAGAATAAGGAAATGGGAGAAACAAGCTTGCCCACTGAGAGCTGAACTGAATAAATCTAATGAATGACAGCAGGGATGTGCAAAGTCACCTTAAAGGGCCAGGCTAACTCTAGCTCCTGAGAAAGATTCTTTGCTTGGCCAAACTTTAGTCAAGCTCTTTAATCTTTTTCTAAGCCCATCTGAGCACTTCCTTGTAAAATTACGTTTTAACAAAAGAACCCCACCTCGTCCATGTAGGCAGGACACCTCATCCTCTACATCTGATCACCCCGGATATCTGATCAGGTTCCTCGTCTTCCACCCTTTCCCACATGCTGCGTGGTCACCCAGGCCTGTTTTCAGCAAGAATCCTGTTAGGTCATTTTAGTCAGAATCCCCCTTAATCCGGCTGTTTCTTCTTAGTCATTTTCCCATCCACTGGCCCCCTGCCTGCTCCTTAACTATAACCTCCCACTGACCCATTCTGTATTCAGAATGGAATCCAGTCTCTCTCCACCACTGCAAAACCCCTTTTGCAGGGGTCCCTATACCTCCGAAAATGGTCCTGAGTAAAATCTTCCTTACTGTGCTTTGACAGGTATCATTGAATAAGTTTTTCTTTGATGGTCCTGCAGAAGTTGGCAGGCACCATGGTGGAAATGCTGACCCAACTAACATAGTGAAGCATCCACAGACAAAGATGAGTCCCTGTGATCACAAGAGGCTGAGTGTTGTCCAGGGAGAGTCATCTTGGCCATTGGGCCAGTGACCAAGCTGAGCCTTGTGTTCGGATGGATGGGGGTGTTCCTGATGGACTCTGAGGACGGTCCTTTCCCCATGGCAGACTGGTGCTCTGGAGACCTAGGTGTGGTGGGCTTTCTTAGCCTGAGGCCATAAACTCAGAGTTTGAGCCTCAAATGCCGTTGGGATTTCACAGATGCATGAGGAAGCCAGAAGTGTCAGAGAATAGGGAGTAGCAGGGTCTGTGTCCAGCATGTATTGGAGAGCGCACACATGCCTAAAGGCATTCAGAATCAATGACTTTTAAAAACATGATGCCATCCTGCCTAACACAGGGTCTCACCAGGAAACAGACGGTGAACTCTAATTAGGAGAATTGGGGTAGGGTTTATTTTCAAAAGGATGAATGACCAAGAAAGGTCTAGGGAGGTCATCAGAGAGAGTGCAGGACTCTGGGGCTAGCGGTGACATGGCTGTCACCTCCCCTAGGCCTACAGGGCCAAGGGGCAAGAGAGGTCACTAGATCTCTGAAGGAGTCATTTAGAATAGAGGTGGCCTGCCAGTGAGGAAGCTGGGGAATAAACCCCTTGGCTCTCCCCTCCCCCTCATCTGCTAGGCTCTGCATTTACCAAATCCCACAAGATGCTAGAAGGCAGGGAATCACAGCTGTGGACTTTCACATGAACAAGAAATAAAATTCTATCTTATTTATACCTCTGTTTTCCCGGGTCTTTTGTAACGGCAACTGAACCTGTAACCTAACCAATACACTCATAACAGAAAACATCTGCCAAAAAAGACATGACGATCGTGAGCTTAGACATATCTCAAAGAACATGTTTATTCTGGTGAAACATATAAAGCAAATCTGGCAGAACTGCAAGGAATTTATAGACAAAGTGGAAAATTTTAATTGGACTGTCTTAAAATCAATGGATCAAGGAGCAAAACATTAGTAAGGCTACAGAAGTTTGTGCAATATAATTAAGGATCTTGAGCTACTAGATTATCAAATTTTACACCCCCACCCACAGAATACCCATTGTTGTCGAGCTCATGCGGAATATTTTTCTAAAAATGTTGCTTACTTGGCAATGAAGGAAGTCTGAAATTTGTTCAAGGAATCAGTATCATCCAGTCACATTCTCTCATCCCAATATAATAAAATTAGAAATCAATAACAAAAAGTTGGCCAAGAAAATTCAATATATTCAGTCGCTTAATAACTCGTTTCTAAGTAATTCATAGGGTAAAAAGAAACATTACTATAATAGAGATTACAAGGTATTTAAAACTGAATAACAATAAGCTAAAGTGAAACTTGGAGGCAAGATACGTTTATTAAAAACAGGAAGAATTGGTAACCGATGAATTAAGCATCCAACTCTAGACCCTAGGAAGAGACATCAGAAAACCCAAAGGGGATGAAATAAAGGAAATAACAAAGATAAAGCAGAAGGGGATGACGCGGAAAACAACCTAAGGTTGAGATGAGTCTTTTAAAAACCTTAATAAAGTAAATAAATTATTAGCACAAAATAGACAATATTAGGAACAAGAAGAAGCCTATGACTAGAGATGCAATCAACGTTTTTAAAAAACACAGTGGGGACCTCCAGCTCTGGCAAGGTATCAAACCAAGATAATATGGAGAACCTAGGAAATAAACTCAGAAGGAAGAAGTGGTTGTAAGAAGAAGTGGAGAATTAAGCAATTGTCAAGTGTAGACAATTCAAACAAGCAGAGACATCATAAGAAAAAAATTTAAAAGGCTGATTAAAAAGAAGAACAAGGCATGGCAAAAAAAAAAATTGGAAAAACAATATCATGACAGACAAGACACTGCAATCAGAGTTCAAAAGCATTCTAAGGTCATGCTAGAGGTAGAAATTAATTAACTTCAGACTTGAAAACTGAAGTATACATGTTAAAAATTGAAGGATGACTGACCAGGCATGGTGGTTCATGCCTATAATCTGAACACTTTGGAAGGCTGAGTTGGGAGGATCGCCTGAGGCCAGGAGCTCGAGACCAACCTGGGCAACATAGAAAGGCCCTGTCTCTACAAAAACTAAAGAAAGGAGCCAGGCACGTGGCAAACACCTGAATTCTTAGCTACTGGGGAGGCTGAGGCAGGAGGATCACTTGAGCCCAGCAGTTTGAGGCTGGAATGAGCTATGATTGTGCCACTGCACTCCAGCCTGGATAACAGAGTGAGACCCTGTCTCAAGAAAACAGAAACAATAACAAAACAACAACCGCAAAACACCTCAGCTGTTTCAGCCGCTGCGGTTGGTCTTTGTTTCTTGCAGCTAAATGCATCAGGCAAATACTAAGCGAAGAAAAGCTGATGTCACTTTATAAATATCATGACAGACAACCCTGAATATAAAGGGTTTTTTCTTTTTTTTTTTTTTGAGATGGAGTCTCACTCTGTTGCCAGGCTGGGATGCAGTGGTGTGATCTCCACTCACTGCAACCTCTGCCTCCCAGGTTCAAGCAATTCTCCTGCCTCGGCCTCCTGAGAAGCTGGTTCTGTAGGCACTCACCATCACGTCCAGCTAATTTTTGTATTTTTAGTAGAGACCGAGTTTCACCATGTTGACCAGGATGGTCTCAGTCTCTTGACCTTGTGATCCGCCTGCCTTGGCCTCCCAAAGTGCTGGATAAAAGTTTGAATATAGCTAATTCTTGAAGGACTATGCATGTGTACTCTTAAATACATACACTTGATAAGAATAAAGATGACACATTAATAATTCAGCATCCAATTTAGGAAATCAGAAAAAGACAACACAATAACAGCCCACTGACCCCCCCACCAAATAGCAGAAAATAATAAAGAGAGAAATCAATAAAACAGAAAACAAAGAAACAATAGAGATGGTCAAAACAAGTGACTAATAAAATAGATCTATTTCTAGGAAGACCGAGAAAGGAAAAAAAGAGAAGTCCCAAAAAGAGAAAAGAGAAAAAAGAAATGAAAAGGAGAATTTAACTACAGATAAGTGACTACATTCCAGTCCACAAAGCAAGTCTACAGATAATTTTTAAATTACAGATAATTTTTTTAATCATAAGAAACAATATTACAGAAATATGTTTGAAAGTGCAGATGTAATGGGCAAGTGTCTATAAAATGTAACATTAAAACTGAATTAAGAAATGGAAAAGTGGCCGGGGGCAGTGACTCACGCCTGTAATCCCAACACTCTGGGGGGCCAAGGTGGCCGATCACTTGAGGTCAGGAGTTTGAGACCAGCCTGGCCAACATGATGAAACTGTCTCTACTAAAAATA